TAACAAGCTGATTAAGTTGAACATTCTGACCACCTTGCGGTTGTGATGAGCTGACCAAACCTTGTTGATTCACAACTCCCATGTTAATATTTTGTTGTTGGTTTGTCATTGACTGGACAGTCTGTTGCTGTAATAAGTTTTGATTCTGAGCTGACAGCTGTTGGCCAGAGTTTATAAGCTGCTGTTGATTGATGACCTGGGACTGGTTTAGATTTTGGTTGAGTTTAGCATTTTGTAAACTCTGTGTAAAGTTCTGAGTAGATTGTGCAAGTTGCTGAGCTATGTTTTGAACGGCACTTTGCTGGCTCAAGGTTAAATTTTGTTTCATCGCCAGATTCTGTTGGTTTAATTGAGCTTGCTGTAAATTAGCACTTTGGCTTAACATCTGGCTGATATTTTCAATTTGCTGCTGTGCCGAACTCATTGATGTATTAGGAGACTGGTTAATGTTTTGATTTTGTTGAATATGGTGCTGGTTTGTTTGAATATGTTGTTGAATTTGGTTCGATATGTTTTGATTCATTTGGGATACTGAGATGTTTGATTGTTGGAATCCTTGTTTCTGTTGGAGCATTTGCATTCTCAATTGATGTTGTTGCAGTAACTTTTGTTGCTGAATTTGTATAGCAGATAATCCATGTGGTTGTTGCTGCTGCTGCTGTTGTTGTTGTTGATGTGGATGTTGTTGCTGTTGTTGGTGTTGAGGTTGTTGTTGCTGATGTTGTTGCTGCTGCTGATATGCTTGTTGCTGTTGTTGAACATTTATATGTTGATTCTGCATATTCATACCAGCTTGTGACACTATAGCATTCTGACCAAACTTCTGCATTAACTGGACATTACTCTGACTACTTTGTATTTGAAGATTTTGTGTTACTATGCCCTGAGGTATAGTTTTGCTGATGATACCAGCAGTGGACATAGCAGTGCTATAACCCATTGAGTTGACAGCTCCTGTGACCACAGTTGATGTGTTGGCCGATGATGGAGGATGGTTCCATGGCATTCTTTGTTTGAGTTTGTCTAGCAGCGCTTGTGTGCTATCATCTTTATTTTCGGCCATATTCTGTGTAGGCACTTCATTCTTGGCTATGCCCTCTTCAAAGTCAAAACCAGTAATGGCACTGATGCGATCCATTGACTTAGGTGGTGGCTGCGGTATGATTAACAATTTAGGATGGAAAACTTCTGCCACAGCTTGTATTCTTGCCCTTAGACTCTCCAAAACCCAATCAGGGGTAACAATCTTAACTCTTGAGGGTGGCAATGTAAGAGCTATGCTGTACTTTTTGCCTGTTGCAGCTCCACAAATAAGATGGGTGCACTGGGAGTCAAAATTTAATTTGACTTTTCCACCATGATATGTAATAAGCGCGAACAGGGCCCTTGTATCAGCTGAACTTACTTTAGTAATACATGCAACCACATTAGAAAATATCTTATTCTTAGTTGGAGTGTATGGCTTTGTATTGGCTAGTTTTTTCAAACGAACGCAGGCGAGAACCCAGCTTTCGGTCACAGCGGGAATCTGATAGATGTCCTGCGCGTCATCGAGGTCCGTATCAGCGGCATTTTGTCCACAAATTAGATGTGTGACATAGTCCGAAAAATATTTTGTATTTTCTGCACCTCCTGACTGCAGCAGGAGCATAATCTGTAAATACAAAGACGCGACTAGAAACATCGAACGTCAGTGTACAAATAACAATAAAAACAAAAAATATATGAAAAACAAACCCTTTCAGAGACATCGCCAGAGAGGTAATATTTAACATCCTTGAATATAGGCTCTTGCAAACTCAAAGAATCTAGATCGTCAACAATCGTTACCATTTTCTGTTTTAACAGACAATGTAAAATTAAAGTTTAAATAAACATTTTCATTATGAAACCTAAGCGCCGAAAACTGAAACTTTAAGCGACGACGTCCATGTTTAATGTTGCCATTTTTTTTGTTTTTTCTCCAAAATCACAGATTACACTTTACATTGTCACAGAAAATATTTTTGTGCTTCTATGTCTATGGAATATACTGTATGAAAAATCTATGAAATAATGTTTCACAGAAACAAGGACTTGGATAATATCGACATAATTTTTATTAAAAATCATAGTAAATTAGTAAATTGCACAATGCATTAAGTATAATCAGCAGATGCCGTACGGAAGGAGTTACTGATCACAACAGCTCTCGCTCTCAGACCTTATAAGATTTATTAACTCAGTACTAATAACAGAACACATTTGCTTTTCGAGAAAACTGTACACATTACAGACTCATGCTCAGATTTCAGATTCTACTGAATCTACAACTACAATTCATAGATAAAATAATTTTCTCTCAGTTACATACGTGGTCGTCGCATAATTCACCAATCACAAACTTGTTTAACAAATGTATATTTGCGTTGCCTTAATTAAAGACTCTTAGACCTATTAATATTAAATTATAATCGTTTAGATATTAACATGTAATTATAAACCAGTATATTGTAAAGTCTGGAATTTCATTTCAAGGAATTCAAAATTTAATTTATATTGCTATGTTCTTATGACGACAAAGAAGTTTTAAATATATGGAAATGATTTTTCTTCAAACATTTGATGTGAAACTTCTTAGTCGTTTTGAGGTATACCATCCTACAAGTTCTAGGTCATTTAGTAAGCGTGGCATAAGTTGTTAAATATACTTTTAATATTCATCGTACAAAAAATTAGTAAAAGGGCTGAATTTGCCATTCCAGATTCTCTTTATGGATGTACTTAGCCATGGTACTACGCTATGTTGGGGTCGAAAATAATTAAATCCAGTAACTCAAATACGATCACAGTGATGATCACTTCGGTGTTCCCGTTGCTCGCTTGCCCCCATCTTTTACATAAAAAAACGACCAAAACCCTAATATCATTAAAACATCCTTGAGAAGGATAGAGATGGAACGACACAACACACTTCAAAGTTGGACAAGCTAAAACAATGCATTTATTTAAATCATTTTTTTAAGCTTTTCAAACTATTACAAACATCGCAGATATTAGATAAAGTCCTAAAATACTTATTTGACCTCATCGAAATACTTGTCGAATTTACGCCATATCCAAATGATATCATAATATTAGGACGTCCTTGAACTTATAATTTGCAGAAGCGTTTTGTTTTAAATTCTAATAAGAATTAAAAAAAAAACGCTTTGGTTTTGTGATATTTTGTGTGCAATATTGTACATTAACTTTTTGGTTTCCATTTCATTTGAATGGGGTGTATAGAGAGGTTATAAACTTTAATGGGTACCTTACGAGAGTAGATAGAGACAGAAATTTTACAATGTTAACTGAAAACAAACATATGGAACGTATAAAATATATTATTATTTTTAACGAAATTTAAAGAGCACATAATAATCTCCCCTTTTAAAATTCATGAAATTGTTTTGGTATCTTCCTGCAAATGTTTTTTTTATCAAGATACAAAAACGCTTGCAGAACGTTCAAGAACGCTTGTACTTAATAACTGATCAGGCGATTTACTAGTTCTTGGTGGATTTTAAAATACAATCAAAAACAAACAGTGGTAGTGCCCGCTTTAATATCTTAGCACGAATAGGCCGGCACGCCCGGTGTAATACCACGACCACACAGAAGACAGGCGTGAAACGGAAGCAATTTCGTGTTTCGTCTGATGAGTGTGGTGCCGGAGGCCTAGCTAAAGTCCCTTTCTCTTGCCACCCTTTTCTTATAAGGAGGGGTTGGGAAGAGGAAGTGGATTTGACGGTGGAGGAGATGCATAGGAAGGAGAAATATCCTCTTTATGTGCGTCTTCTCCTCCGTCGTATAAGTGTAGGCAACACATCTGCAATTGCGGATGTCTATGGGCAGCGGTCGCTTCGCCATTTTGGCGGTTTCAGGTGGCCGCTTGCTCGTCTGTCGCCTAATGTTATAAAAAAAAATGATTCTAAAAAGATGTTTTAGTGTAGACGTATTTTTTTGTGGTAGAAATTCCTTCGTGGCCTTTGTGGCAGGCGAGAATTAATTGCTTAGTTCTCATATACAAATTAAAAACATTATCATATATAGAGACAGATACTGTTACTAGCGACTTTTATTTTTTTTATGCAAAACACTATAACATATTCAAACTTGCTCCAGATTCCAAATTATATTTTTATATATATGGGTTTTACCAGGTCAGGGGATTTACCTTTAGTTACATTTCTTTTGCGTCTTGCGATTATTTTACTATAAAATGTTTAGTTTAATTGATAACCATATCATAACGTAACTAATGCTTAAATTAAAAAAAATAGATTTGCTACCTAAGTTAGTTTGTTTTTAAAATTATCTTAATTTATATGGTTGTTTAATGTACATTTTTTTCTAAGGGAGTCCTTTACCAACCGTTCGCGACTTCAAGTGCGATAGTTTCAATGATATATGAAAGAACAGCAGAATCACTTAGTACCAATAAAAGTAGTCTTTAACAGTTCACGTTTTTTATAGTTTATGTTTATATTGCCAAAATCAATTTGGTAAATCGATTAAACAAAACTTAAATTATGACATCTCTTATAATATCTTAACCTAAACACTTAAAAATAATACATAACTAAATATTAAAGTACGTTTTGATCCCGAAATACAAGTACTATATTGTTGTCTCTATTTTTCCAAAGACAATAGAAGAAATAGAAATAATTTTTTGTATCAGTTTTTCAGCGGTGGAAACCCACGGTTGTCGACGAGCCAGCAAGTCAACTATACGTCGTTTTATTGTGGAAATACCTCGCATACGAAAGAACTGATGACGACAGAAGAGTTTGGTCTCAGGAAAACCTACCATTTTAATTTTATGCTTAGTAATTCCATAAAAACCGGTACTAAGAGAGGGGGGGGGGGGTTAACATTAATATAAACAACTTTATAATCTGTATAAGAAGATCTAAAATGTTTTGTTAGATTTTAGTATATTATAATTTGCTCAATATTCGTGGTGAAGATGTACCCAATGTTTTGTTCCACTTCTCACTTCAGTGTATCATCGTGCGGAGGCTTGAAGACACGTCAAGCAGTCCGTTCAGAAATAACAGGAAAAAGTTTTAAACTTAATTTACTTTATTAAAAATGCAAATCGCATAGCGCTGTTTTTTAAATCTTTATTTTATATTAAAAGTAAAATGAATTGTGTATCAATCAATGTTTTCGTGACTGTAGGAATATCTTTGCTTGTTTTTGCAAACGCTCAATCCCCTTGTCCTGATATTTTTGAGTACAAAAATGATGATAATGGTGTTTACGGACTAATAACATTGAGACCTGATGGCAGAAAATCAACAATAACAGTCAGGACCAATTTCACGATCACAGCGAAATTATCTTCTGTAAGTATTTAAAAATTTTTTTTAGTTGATTTGTTTTGGTTATTAATGTCTGTAATCACTTTGTCTATGAATTTATTAATTGTTTGTATTCTAAATTCAAAAGTTGCAAATTAAAGCAATAATAAAAATAAGTATAGTATAGCCATTTACGGAAAACGTAGTATTTACTTATAAATATTTTATACATTATTATTTTGCATAAATATGTTTAAGTATTTATGTACATGCTTACCGATATCATATTGTAGATGATTTCCATAAATTAACAACATCTCTAGATAATTAACTACTGTTAATTATTACTATACATTTAATTGATGATTTTAATATAAAAATGCTACCACACTTTGTGATTTTCATCAGCTTTAACCTCTTAAACTGATACAACTGTGCCATTAATCTCGCGACCGGGAACATCCTTCGGGATTTCCCTGAGCTAAAAATACTTCAGGTTTTTTTCTTGCAATTTGCGCGTTACATAATACCGCCTCCGGACCCTGCTTATAAGCACATGTTAACATCGACATTGTTAGTTGATGATTTATTATATATAGTAGCAGTACCCCCAACGTCCCTGTCGACCATATGTTATCTCTATCATTCCTTTTCAAAAAGTAGATATAACAATATGTTTTATAAAGTTTCCTGAAGAGGAGTTTCACGGTTATATAGCAAAGTTTATGACTAATGTGATCCTTGTTAAAAATATTTACTTCTCGCATTTTTTTCACACACATATTATTTACGTCTGTATCTCCTCGCTAGTGCCACAGACATCCCTTGTAGCCCAATTACATAAACCCTGTAAGATGGAAGAATCCTGCGCTGGATTTCAAATGGAAACATGTAATATCACTGTGTTCGAACGCTGAACTCGAATTATGTAAACCGGGCAATATATCATCTTCGGTTATAAGTAACTATCTAATAATTACTCACTTAATAAAATCGGCTGAGCTTTAAATAGACCACAGGCGGGACAATGGAATAGGCCATTCCGGTGAAACGTAATTTTAAGTTCACGACGCAAATAAGTCGATTTGTCATACCAACAATACTCTTAAAAAGTTACTAAATCATAGCTCTTAATTGTCGTATTTAATATTAATAGTGGCGAACAAATTATTTAAATTCTTTGTATTAGCAAATAACATCCTGCTTTGTGGTCGATGGTTAATAAAAAAATTTCTATACATAAAACTAAATTATTGCCGTAAGTTTTTACTAAAAGCACATTATGTAATATAGTGTGTCTAAATAAGATAGATTAGTTTGATAAATGACGCATATAAAGTATCGAATTCAATTTGTATGAAGGCAAATGCCATACTTAATAGACAGGTATCGTAGTGACGAAACAAACCCGCGTAGCGAACAATTTTGAACTATCGATATTCGGTTTAAATAATTATCGAACTCAACTAAAATTATTATTTTCTTATTCATTTATTTAGAGGACAATTCTAGTATTTATTAGAATTGAATTTATTCTAGTATTTATTAAATAAGAATTGAATTTAGCGATGACAGAAATAATAGCGAAATCCAATTCGATTACGTGCGGCTGTAGCAGTAATAAACATTTATTTACTCTCATTATTTGTTATAGTCATTATTAATTTGAGAAAACAGTGTTTTATTTATTTCATAAGTTATGACTATAAATTTATCGATGCCAACTTCTATAAGAATAAAAATCGCAAATCTATAAGATTCATGACTGATTTTACACAACCGATCCCTACTAAATTTGAATTGAATTGTCAAACTAATCTAAATTATTTAGACACACTATAAGTACTACCTCAGTTTGTTAAAAGAGTATAATAACGTGACGACAATATGTTTTGCGACAGTGTTTTGACAGTGTAAATCCATCGTGAAATAATAATAAGTACATCATTTTTATTTTACGCTATTTGAAACTTACAAGTGACATACAGGAAATACAGGAAAATAAATTCATACCATATTATTCCTATCGGGTTTTTATCACAAAACAAATCATTAGATACATAACATGTTTATAATTAACCATTTATTTTAATAGACTAGGATTACAAAAAAATGCAGATAATGACTAATGATTGATCTTACATGTTATTTCAACTCAACTTCGGGCCTTACCATAAAAAACTTAGACTGTGTTTTAACACATATTAGCTTAAACAATACTTTTATACTGCGACTCTCGAATGGCCAAAGATTTTCTGTTGTAAAGAATTCACTGCACTAAAGATTCAAGTCAATTTTTTACATTTAAAGTCCTAAAAAACATTAGTTAATAAATTATTTTATTTTATTGATAAAAAAATATTTAGTTTATTGTCACGATTAACTTGAATTCCCGAAATTTCATGACAATGGCACATATGCTATTTTCTTGAGCTGATTTAAATAACACTATGGTAGTAAAAACCCGAGTCTCACAAACATTGTAGTTGTAAAAACAACGAGAATTTGAAGTTAAAAATTATTTGAATAAACTTCCAATACTGAATGGTGTATTCACGTGATTTATAATAGCAAAAATGTTAAAAATCAATTAGGTTATTTTATTTTTAAATATTAGGCTATTTAAGTAATCATCCACAACTTAATGTAAAGCAAAAATAAAGTTGTAAAAAATAAATTTCAGTATAGTGCATTATTTAAGTAAAGACGTAACTCGTTGAAATCTTTCATATGAATAAGTTTTCATAGGAGATAATGCAAGAGAAATTGTGTGAGAGCGGTTTAATATTTTTTTATGAAAATATTGGTAAGAAATAATTACTTATATAATACCCTATTTTAACAGCCCCAGCACAGAGTAAAAAAAAATAATTTAACGTAACTTTCATTCCGGTATACCGTTCCACGAAATGCATGACTAAAATAAATTGGAAGGTTGTTATAATATTATAATGTATGGTTTATGAAAGCCTAACTCCAAAAAACAACATAAAATTTTTTCCATTGGTCAATGCCCCACATGGTCGGTTTAAATTAACCGTGTTATTGCTCGGCTATATACGCTTGGAAATTCCAAAGTAACGTTGAGATCGAATTTTTGACGTGATTGTTACTTACAATTAGTTTTCCTCCCAAAAAATCGGCCTGAACATCGTGTGAAATTTTAACGTTTTTAGTTATATTCTCTGAGGCTAAAAATCTCCACAGATTATTTTTCTGATCTCCTTGAGAATATTTTTTTATATAGCACCGGCCTATGGTTGTTTTTAAATCTCCCCGGCCTTTTGAGGTTTTACAAACTTGATTAATGATTATTACCTATGTACAAATATAAAACAAAACATAACAAGGTATTTTACCTTAAGTAGCAACCTAAACATCTGTACGAAGTTACCTATTTTGTAGACAGAATAAATGATATATTTTTTAAAGTTTTTACGGCGGCGGTGAAAACCCGCAGCATAACACATAGAACGAATTAACCAAGCTTACAACTGCAAAAAAAGCATTGAAATTGGAATTTGGAAACTACTAATTCAATTCCAATATAAAAATATTCCGGTGTTTGATAGTTCGTGAACAAAATAAAATAAGTTTTGTTTTTATTCTAATCAGACATTAGACAGGGGGATTTACGTCATTGGCGTAGAATTTTTAGTAATATTTATATAGACTTCTACATCTTGAGACAAACAACCGGTTATAAAGCATCAAAACTATTTGTAACGAGATTTCTTCACGTGGCTTCGTCCGTTTTCTGGTGTTAAACTCGTTTAACAAATGATCTTGTAAATAACTTAATATAAAGGTTATAGGTCAAAGGTCACATTTTGCACGAGGTTATTTTTTCTGTATATGCCAAAAAAACTAGCACAAAATACCAATGGTTAATAATATTTCATATTGCAGGGATGGTTCGTTTCTGGTGTAATTCCGCTGGGTTCTCTAAGTTAATCCATTAAAAACTAAACTAAAATAAAAAAAGTAATACTCCTACATAATATAAGGTTAAATAATGAGACATATTTATTGGTTTAAGTTGGTCGCGTGACTTTGTAGGACCCTCGAAGTTGAATAAAGTGACATTCAACTGTGTTTGAGAACGCACGAGACTCGTAACTGGCGACCAGTCGCCGGGGAAATCCCATTTCATTCTCCGCGGTGATTTACGTATTATTATTTTAATGACTAAAGATGCTCCATTAATATCATCATCATCATCATCATCATCACCAGCTCACTATACGTCCCCACCGAGGGGCTCGGAGCCTACCCTAATATGGGGTGACTAGGCCATAGTCAACCACGCTGGCCAAGTGCGGGTTGGTTGACTTCACATATATCTTTGAATTTCTTCGCCGATATGTGCAGGTTGCATCACGATGTTTTCCTTCACCGTAAGAACGTCGGGTAAATTATGTACATATGAAAATTCGAAAAATCGAACATCACATTGGTACATGGCGGGATTCGAACCCAAGACCTGTAGATTACAAGTCAAGTGTTCAAGCCACTGAGCCACCGACGCTCGCCATTCATATATCTGTATAAAAACATTTAATTTAAAAAAATCTTAAATATCAGATTTAGATACTGCATTTTTCATTTTTTTAAGTGTAGTTTATTTTATAATTTTGATGTCCCGACATACTCGTTTAGATGGATGAATGTCTGTTAGAGTATGTAGCCTAAACGGCTGAACGGATTTCGATGAAATATGGTATTGATGTATAAGATAGTCTGGAAGAACACATAGGCTACTCACATTTTGACTTTTTATAATCCACGCGGACGGAGTCGCGGCCGAAAGCTAGTAGCTCTATAAAAATCTAGTCGAAAAAAAATCTGAAATTGTCTATGTTCAATAAAATTTATTTAATTTCAATGCATAGTATCCTCGTAAATGTAAAGAAGAAAAGAACATTTAAATCTAAAAATGTAGTTACTTAACAAAACTTTTGATGAATGTTGTTTGGTTGTTTTTTTTTTACAAATAATGGGAAAAACGTTACTGCGATATGATTCTTAGCAGGTTTGGATTCTTAATAAGAGGATCCAAACTTGTTATTTTTTACCGTCGTCGGCAGACCAGTCAGACGTAAACTTATTTAATTGAGATTCGTACGACGTTTCTTGTTTTATTACTGTTTGTTTAAAGTATTTACTAGAGATCCTTAGCTACTAAAGCTAGCTTACTTATGTTCAATGTTTTTATATATATTTATACAAAATATGGCTATGTCGATCGTTAATTTGAAAAGATCTGATAGTCTGGGTTAAATTTTAACTGGCATTTTTTGTAATAAAATCTTATTATTCCATGAATTTAGGTTTTTGAATATCAGTCGATCTGCTTGTTTCTTTAGACCTTTGACTAAACTATCGCACAACTGTTTAGTCACGCTTTGATTCCTATGAGCTTATATGTTGGTGAACACACTACTCGATGTTTACTTGTGCAACTAAACAGTTGAATTAGCTGGGAAACAATCGACAATCGTACAACAGTGTGCGATGGTTCAGTTGACTAAACACCTTTGAAGGTGTGCGCCCTCTCTTACAGTAACGTACTATAACTTTTTATAATTTAGAAATAACCAATTATCCAAATTAGTTCGATATATTTGGACTTCCCACATATATTCGGCCTAGGATTAATCCACATATAAGGAAAATAATAACAAATTGGTTGGGATTTCCGCATAATTAATACAATGAACCACAACATGATTGTCGCAACTACAATAGTTTAGAAAAATGTTTTATTTTTAGTACTTAGTACAATTTTAGGAAAATTTTCAATCGACTATTTATACATAAAATAACGCAGGTTATCTCAAAAATTTGTCGCCCGTAATTTCATCTATTAATTGATATAAAAATTCATCTAGAACCGTTCAGACGTTCCGGAGTCACCTGGTAACATTCATACATCATTTTAGTGATAAAAACGATTTTTTTTTTTCAATTTGTAGGAGTACGTTGGCAACATCCGACCTTATGGAGGTGCCAATGCAATCACGGAGTACAACAAAGGCAATACAATACAATACAGAGTGAACCTGCCAGTGAGTTCTCCACTTCCAAAGATTACAGCTCTATACGTAAATGATGACCTCGTGTGTTCGGATAACCCAGGTAATTTTATACTACACTAGCTTTCATCCGCGACTGCATGGAATTAAAGAAAAACAAAAAATAAGCAGCCTACTTGTTCTTCCAGACTATCCTCTACATCTGTGCCAAATTTCGTCGAGATCCGTTCAACAGTTTAGGCTACAAACTCTAACAAACATCCATCCAAATTTCCGCATTTATAGTATAAGTATGAAGAAAGTGAGGGTAGGAGAGGCATAGACATTTTTTCCTTCACAGTAACATTGGTATATTAAAGTTACTTCAAGGTAACAAAACTCTTAATAATAGTAATGAAATCTACAAAAGGATCTCACGTAAGCCCATTAACTCTACTTTAAAACGGATTATCTTGAGGGGAAAAAGTTACGAGACTCGACCTTAAATACATGGAAAGTGATATACAGAAACCCTTAAGCCCGCTACATACGATTAGTTTCTGAGCAGAAATCTAACGTGTGTAGGCAAAATTGAACAGTTCTCAGTTTTGTTAGCTTACAGCTGGCTTACAGAGACCACACGATTTATGATTTACCTTCTATCTGAAACTGGCTCTGTAATATTTTTTGTACTATTTACAGATACCTTGGAAACGAGTAATTACGTGACAACAATAACACTGCAGCACACACTGTACTCGGGAACCAACGTTATTGTTGGCAATAATCGACCAGTGACCTACACGCCTATCAAATACAACATACAAAATGATCGAGTGGTATATAATATACCATCGATAAATAACGACAGGACAACCACCGGAACAATATGTAAGTAATAATTACGCTAAAAGAGGATGTAACAGTCATACAAACTCAAACTCAGTCAAACTCAGATATTTATTATACGTTACATGTCTAAAAACATTAAATAAAAATTGGAATAGTCAATTATCGTAACAATTACACTTTCCAGATACGTTTTACGGAGGAACAAATAGAAATTCAATTAATTTCCCATCGAGCTTATTTGGTAATACTGGCTTATTTAGTACCGGTCCTTCAACAGCCGTGCAGCCGGTAAGAGAACCTCCACGGACAACTATACGACAACCAGCGCCGACGCTGACACCAGCACCAGTACGAAATCCGTAAGTGACTTTAAGTAACTACCTTAAAGACCATTTAGTAAATCAGTATAATATTTTTATCAATGCCTAATTATCGACTTTATCTTATTAAGATGAAATATTTTTTTAATCACCTTCTTATTTTTTATTTCTTGGTATTGTTGAAAATGCGTCGTCGAATTATAAATTTAAAGCATAAGAAACCTAGAGTTAAAACTGGATTTTATTCCATTTTTTTTAATCTTGTAATAGTAAAGCAGTACAGAGTTTCTAAAATGAAGTAACTAATACGATAATGATTTTTCAACAGTGATCGCGATTCCGGTACATCGTCTCGTGTTTCTGACAAAGACTCTGGTGTAGAGGACTCTTCTAATATACAATGCGGGCAAGGAAAGATAGGTGTGCCGCTAATCTGGCACGGGCAGACATACCCGCGCGGCGAGTGGCCCTGGCTCGTCGCCATCTACCAGACCGTCGCACGGACTCTCACCTTTGTGTGCTCCGGCACTCTGATATCTGACCGACATGTCCTCACAGGTAAACTATCATCTATACATGAAACTGTAACTGGTCGATACATGACAAATATATTAGAAAACAAAGGCTTAGAACACTGAGAAAGTATACGTTTGTCTGCGATTTCGTGCATACTTATCTCAGAAACGAAATAAACGATTTTAACGATGTTTTCACCAAAGTGTTAAAATACCTTTCATTTAAAATTTTATTACTGTTTCATCTCAATCAGTGTATGAATAAATATGTTATACGTATTAAAAGCAGCTTTGGAGATTTATTTTTTAATGTAAATTGACCTCTGGACTTTAAAATAAGTTACATGTTAGCCTGGACAATGCCATTGTGACATGACCAATAACTTAAAAGTCATAAGCAATTGGATAACAAAAAACTGCTTTTCGTGGAAAAATCTAGTGATTCAACTAAAGAGTACTAGAGTACTAACTTCAACAAACATTGCAGCTGCTCATTGCATGACTAACAAGCAAGCATCAGACATGATTGTGAAGATAGGCGTTTACAATTTGGACGAATGGGGCGGCGACGTTGAGATGAGAAAGCTCTCAGCGGCGGATGTGCATGAACATTACAGCAAAACTAACTTTTCAAGTGAGTATGTATGAATACTTGATTTTACTCAATTATAAGTATTTATATCTAAATCGTAACATAATCAGAGAAAAATTATGGAGATGAAAATAAAGTCAACAGCCAAATAGAGAACAAATAGAGCAACAACTAAAAGAGGGCATTTTTATAGATCTTTTTTTAAACGCATCATATTTTTTTTTAATTACACGCTCTTATTAATATTTTAATAATATTTCAGATGACATTTCACTATTCACGCTGGAGAAGTCTGTTGAGTTCAACAGTAACATAAAACCGGCGTGCTTGTGGGGATCAGATGTTAATCTAGACCGTATCGCCGGACACACTGGAGTGGTAATATATTTTTAATATATAAAATAATCTTATCTTCTTTATCATATGAAATCTGCATCAGTAACTCTCATAGTGGTCCATTGATGCCGCTGGAGTCCACGGAATACCCGGGGGAGTGTAATTTTATTATATTGGTGTAATGTTCCCTGAGGGAAAATACCTAATCATTGAGTGCGACCGTTAAACTTTGGATATAGAGATTCCTATGATTAAGAATAATATGTAACAAATGTATCTTCGTAGTCCTTAAATTAGGCTGATGATTTGGCACTTCGTCAACACGATAAGCCTCTTCGGGAGTTGCCAAGTGAAGCGTTTGGTACTATAACTTGAGTTTTATTTTAGGTTACCGGTTGGGGAGACAACGAGTCGGGCAAAGGCGGGCACGGCGATCCCAGAATGATCCGCTTGCCTATCGTCACCAACAGGGAGTGTCGAGCGACTAGATCTGAATTCCACAAGCTCACATCTGACACCACTTTATGTGCTGGTGTGTATAATGATTTCTATATACAACTTCAATGACGCAAGAATATCACGATCGTGTATACGAAAAAAAGTTTTTAAAATGAAAGGGAGATGTAGTCTGTTTGAATGTATTTATTTTTTTATTTTCAAGGTAATCGCGACGGTTCGGGCCCATGTGCGGGTGACTCTGGAGGCGGTCTGTTCGTCTTGGATGACGGCCGATGGAGAGTCCGCGGCATAGTCTCACTTGCACTGTCGGCTAAATCTGCCGAAAAGCCATGCAATCTCGACGAGTATGTCATCTTCACGGACGTTGCCAAATACAGATCGTGGATAAAAAGACACATGGCATTTTCGTAATTAAACTAGCTCATACAATATAATTTCTGCATTTTTACTATAATTTATGGACCAGTTATTATTTTTTGATTAAGAATAATGTAGAAATGTAAGTTTTCATTTATAAATTTGTCAAATAAATGCCGATGTCTTTTTTATATAAGTAAGCTTTAATTTTTAGAAAAAATAATGAATATAATGTTTATTTTTAATAATTTTGTGATAAACTATTACAATAAATGTTTTAAAAATAAACAAAGTATATTACCAACTAACAAAGTTAATTTCATTATGTTGAGCCCGAAACAACCTATCCCGGACCCAAACCTGTTCCTCTTCGCTTTCCCATACTTTTCGCTTCTTACAATGTTTTAGAATTATATCAGGGTGCACAATCTCAGTACATTTAACTTGGAAATCCGAAGATAAAATACTGCAATATAACGGAGCACCTTAAATCTATTTTGATAA